GCCATCATTGTTGTTCGGCAGGCCCGGGCTGGATTCGAACCTGCCACCTTAGGTGTATGTGGCTGGTGCCTTAGCTGTTTGAGCCACAGGCACCAAGCCATTTTAAAAATAATTTTTAACAATTTATTTTTAAAAAGTAATTTGGGCTTGCCACCCACAGCTCAGTGGTTAGGGTGCTGGCTATATACACCAAAGCAGGTGGGTTAGAACCCAGCCCAGGCCTGTTAAACAACAACTGCAACCAAAAAATAGCCAGGTATTGTGGCAGGCACCTGTAGTCCCAGCTACTTGGGAGGCTGAGGCAAGAGAATCACGTAAGCCCAAGAGTTCTGAGGTTGCTATGAGCTGTGATGCCACAGCACTCTACCGAGGGTGACATAGTGAGACTGTCTCAAAAAATAAAGTAATTTGCACTTATCTGTAGATTTGCATTATTATTGATTTTTAGTTTCATTTCATTGTGACTGGAAAAATTACTTTGTATGATTTGTCTTTTCGAGTTTGTTAAGAATTGTCTTATGCCTAACACGAGGTCTATCCTAGAGAATGCTCTAGGTATACTTGAGAAGAATGTGGATTGTGTGGTTATTGGGTGGAACATTCTGTGTTTACTAGGTCTAGTTGTCTATATTGTTGTTCAAATTCTCTGTTTCCTTGTTGATCTTATATCTGGTTCTATCCATTATTAAAAATGGGATATTGAAATCTCCTATTATTATTTTGTTGCTCTCTATTTCAATTCTTTCAAAGTTTGTTTCGTATATTTAGGAACTCTGAGGTTTGGTGCATAAACATTTATAATCATATCTTTTGGTGACTTGACCCTTTTACTATTATGTAATGGTCCTTCTTTACTTCTTATAACAGTTTTTTATTTAAAGTCTATTTTGTCTGATATAAGAATGACCACTTCTACTCTCTTTTGGTTACCATTTGCATGGAGAATCTTTGTCTATCCTTTTACTTTCAGCCTATATATGTCTTTATATCTAATGTCTTGTGAATAGCATGGATGCATTGTTTTTACTTTATTCAGTCAATCTGTCTTTTGGTTGGGGAGTTTAATTCATTGACATATAAAGTAATTACTGATAGGGAAGGACTATTGCCATTTTGTTAATTGTTTTTTACATGTCTATAAGCTTTTTTCCCCTTCCTTTGCTATCTTCCTTCCTTTCTATTTTACTGATATGTTTGTAGTGATATGCTTTGTTTTGCTTTTCATTTTTTTAAAGTTTTATGTATTATTTATTTATTTTTGAGGTAGGGTCTTGCTTTGTCATCCTGACTGGAGTGCAGCGGCATACTAATAGCTCACCATAACCTCAAACTCCTAGGCTTCAGCAATCCTCCCACCTCAGCCTCTTTTTTTTTTTTTTTTTTTTTGAGACAGAGCCTCAAGCTGTCCTCCTGGGTAGAGTGCCATGGCATCACAGCTCACAGCAACCTCCAACTCCTGGGCTCAAGTGAGTCTCCTGCCTCAGCCTCCCAAGTAGCTGGGACCACAGGCGCCTGTCACAACGCCTGGCTATTTTTTGGTTGCAGCCGTCATTGTTATTTGGTGGGCCCAGGCTGTATTTGAACCCGCCACCTTAGGTGTATGTGGCTGGCGCCTTAGCCACTTGAGCCACAAGCACCGGGCCCCCACCTCAGCCTTTTAAGTAGCTGGGACTATAGCAGAATGCCACCATGCCTGGCTAATTTTCTTTAGATTTTGTAGAGATGGGGGTCTCACCATGTTGCCCAGGCTGGTCTCAAATTCCTGGCCTCCAGTGATCCTTCTTGATGATATCTAATAAGCCACTCTTCTTCTAGGTTCAGCCTCCCAAAGTGCTGAGATGACAGGTGTGAGCCACTGTGACTGGCCTTAATTTCTGTAGATATTTTTAATATTCTGTAGATATTTTATTTGCAGTTGCCCTTGCAATTATGTGAAACAAAGTTATAGTATTCTATTTTAAACTGATAATTTCAATCACACATAAAAAATACATTTTTGCAGTTCCACATTCCTCTCCCTGCTCTATTATTAATATCACAAATTCATATTTATATATTGTATACCAATTAACATAGAGTTTTGGTTTTAAAGTTTTGGGTTTTTTTTTTTTTTTTTTGAGACAGAGTTTCAAGCTGTCACCCTGGGTAGAAAGAGTGCCTTGGTGTCACAACTTACAGCAACCTCAAACTCTTGGGCTTAAGTGATTCTCTTGCCTTAGCCTCCCAAGTAGCTGGGACTACAGGTGCCTGCCACAGCACCTGGCTATTTTTTTTTTTTTTTTTTGGTTATAGTTGTTGTTTGGCAGGCCCTGGCCTGCCTGTTGTTGTTTGTTGAAGCAGCCAGCTCTGGTGTATGTGACTGGCACCCTAGCTGCTGAGCTACAGGCACCAAGCTAGATTTAAAGTTTTTAAATGTTTTTATATGTAATTTAAATTTCATACATCAGAATTACAATAGTATAGATTATATTTGTCTATGTATAGATAAATATAATAATCATTACTGGAGAACCTTATGCATATTATCATGTATTTTTGTGTTGCTATTTACCATACTTTTGTTTCAATTTGAAGGATTCCTTTTATCCTTTTTTTTTAGAGCTCTCTAAAAAAGAGCTCTCTTAGCTTTTATTTATCTAAGAAAGTCTTAATTTCTTGATTTTTGAAGGACAATTTTGCTGGATACAATACTCTTGGGTGATAAGTTTCTTTTTTTCCTTTTGGCATCTTAAATATATCACCCCACTCCCTTCTGGCCTGCAAAGTATGTGCTGGGAAATCTTCTGATAATCTTATGGAGGCCCCTTTGCATGAGACAAATTTCAAATTGCTTTTCTCTAGTTGTTTTCAAGATTTTCTTTGTTTTTAACGTCAGACAGTTTGATTATAGTGTATCTTGATGTGATTCTGTTTTGATTTTTCTTTAAATGAACTCTCTGCCCCTTTCTCTCCCTCTCCTTTGGGACTCATTATATGTATATGTTGACCTACTTGGTGGTGTCTCATAAGTCCTTTAGTCTCTCTTTGATTTTCTTTATTCTCTTTTGCTTTTACTTCTCTGAATAACCTCTTCAAGTTTGCAGATTCTTTCTTTTACCTGATCAAGTCTGCTGTTGAGCCCCTCTTATGAATTTCTTAGTTCAATTATTGTATATTTCAGTTCTAGAATGCCTGCTTTGTTCTTTTTATAATTTCTATTTCTTTGTTGGTATTCTCATTTTGTTCATACATCATTTCCTGGTTTGTGTGTATGTGTGTGTTTAGTTGTCTGTGTTCTCTAGTAAATGATTGAGCATCTTTATTACGTTTACTTAGATTTTTTTCAAGCAGCTCATAGATCTGTGTTTCTTTCTTTTTTTTTTTTTTTTGACAAAGTCTCAAGTTGTTACCCTGGGAGGAGTGCTGTGGCATCACAGCTCATAGCAACCTCAAACTCTTGGGCTTAAGCAATTTTCTTGCCTCAGCCTCCCAAGTAGCAGGGACTGTAGGTGTCCGCCACAATGCCCGGCTATTTTTGTTGTTGTTGTTGTTGCAGTTGTCATTGTTGTTTTAGCTGGTCTGGACCAGCTCAAGCCTGCCAGCCTTGATGTATGTGGCCAGTGCCCTACCCACTGAGCTACAGGCACCACCCAGATTTGTGTTTCTTTAGGGTCAGTTTTGTAGTTTTTATTTTGTTCCTTTAATGGGCTATGTTTTTCTCTATGCCATACATAGATCCATACAGGATTTGGGCGTTTGAAAAAACAAACTCCTCTTCCAATCTTTGCATGCTTGTTTCATGCAGGAGAAAACCACCAATCAGCTCAGCTGGAGGTTCCTTGATCTCTCAAACCTTTTCTAATCTCTCACTCCCTTAGCATCTACCTATAGAACTGAAGTTCCAATGTGCTGCCAGCCTTTATTTTCAAACTCTGGTGCTGGTCTTGTCACCACTTCAGTCAGGGAAACAGTGAGTTGTCCCTTGGGCAGCCCCCAGACAAGCCAGAATGTTGGACATACAGTTCACTGTCTTGATTCTGCCCTGTAGAAGGAGCCCCAGTAAGGGACATTTCCTCCCAGTTGTGCTGTGCTCTGCTGCATACAGAGAGAAGCACAAAAGGTGCTGCTGTGGTCTGAATGTGTTCCCACAAATTCACATGTTGAAACTTAATTGCCAATGTGAAAGTATTAAGTTGTGTGACCTTTAGGGGTTGATTGAGTCATGAGGGCAGAATGATCATGGATGAGATTAGGGCCTTTCTAAAAGGAGACAAAGAGTTCATGGATATGTTCTCTTCTACTCTTCTACCATGTGAGGGACATGGCATTCATCCCCCTTCTGTCCTTCTATGTTTTCCAGCAAGTGAGGGTACACCATTCAAAGCACCATCTTGGAAGCAGAGATTAGGCCTTCACCAGCTATCAAATCTGCTGGCACTTCGATCTTGGATTTCTGGCCTCCAGTACTATGAGAAACAAATTTCTGTTGTTTATAAATTATCCTGTCTCAGGGATTTTGTTATACCAACACAAATGCATCAAGACAGGCATGCTAAACACCACCTATTTTCCTGCTGTTTTTGCTGAAAATCTTTATTGGTTTTATGATGGCTTGGGTGCTGTAGTTTCTTATATAGTCTCTAGAATTCTCCCAGAGGTATTGTGGTCCATATAATGTTGTTAACTGTGGGTGTCTGTTGGGGTAGGAGGGCCTGTAGCTTCCTAGTTCACCACCTTGCTAATACTATTCTGCAATAATATTTTGATGTGCTTGTTGCAGCTGCTCTATAGTCAAAGCCCCAGGAGGATAGTGTCACCTCAAGGCTGGAGAGGCTTTTGGAGAATTGGCAGAAACTATTGCATTTTTTCCCAGAAATCTCCCTGGGAATACTATCTGTGGAAACTGGGTGCTACATGCCAGTGCCAGCAGCGTTATGGCCTGCACAGCAGGCGGCCCTTGTTAAGTGCTGTGTCCCCAAGGCTCATCTTCTCCAGGTGAGCTGCATCTCTTCTCTCCACAGCACTCTGACCCCCAGAAGCTGCTCCACATTGCCCAGGAGCTCCTGCACACTGAGGAGACCTACGTGAAGCGGCTGCACCTGCTGGACCAGGTAGCCCATATGGGGTAGGGGGGCTGCTTTTGTCCACTTTCAGAGTTTTAGTGGGCAGTTTAAGGGGCAAATGTTCTATCTCTTAGCATTGGTTGAGTATTACAATTGGAGTATGAACTACTTAAATACTAAAACCCAGACAAATGTAGGTCTAGTCTAGAAAAATTTTTTTGCTTTAGGTGCTTATGGCTCTGGGGAAAGGGTTTGCACAGTCACCTTTGGAGCAATTACATTATCTGAGAACATGAATGATTTCTCAACATTTTTTCTGCATACATAGTTGGGACAGTGGGTGCTACTCATTCCTGTCCATGTGGCAACGCAGGATTTATAAGCACAGGAAATAAAACACCAATCAAGCCAGGGGTTTAACAGAGTGTGCTGTGTATGTTTATGTTTCACAAGCCAGAGAAGGCAATCTGGACCTTTGGTTTCCTATGTGAGGTGGCTGAGGAAGGATGTGCTGCCTTGTCATCAGGACAAGTCTCTGCCTTACCCACAATCCTAAGCCATAAGTAAGCTTGTCTTAAGACCATGAGGTTGTTTAAACCAGTTTGATGGAAAGGGAGGAACATGATTCTGAAATTCATTAAGAAGCCACAAGGTGGTAGCCCCTTCTGATTGTCCACACCGGTGGCTGATGCCCAGTCATAACTGTCCATGGTAGATGATGTTCAGTGGCCACTGTGTGGGCTTCTCCCAGGTTTTCTACACCAGGCTGAGTGAAGCAGGGATCCCTCCAGAAGTCACCACTGGCATCTTCTCTAACATCTCCTCAATCCACCGTTTCCATGGGCAGTTCCTACTGCCTGAGCTGCAGACACGGATCACAGAGGAGTGGTGAGTACTGTCCACAGACACCTGGGGATGGCGTCTTAGGAGGCCTCTAAGCCTGGGGTTCGTGAGCCTGAAAGCCAGGTAGGTACTTAGGGATGGTCTCATGGTGACCTGCACAGTTCCAGGTCCAATCCTGACCCCACTCCTTTCTGGTTGGAAATCTATCAGTATATTTTTCTGTTTCTTGAAACTTATTTGTAAATTTCTATCCAAAACAGCAGCTAGTTTTTATTATCAGTCCTGCAAAGTGCTACTTTCCCCATGACTTTGCCAGCAACTCACAGAACCATCGTTTTGAATCTTTGCTCCCTGAAAAGGAGTAAAGTAGTATTTCATTGATCTTTTGACAGCTGCAGCCCATCATTGCACTTCTTTTAATACCTCTTGTATTTTGGGCACTGGCTCTCATCCTGCAGTGGTGAAATGTGTTATGGGCATCTTCTCATTTAATCACTTGGTGACATGTTATTTTCTAACCAATGTGACATAGAGGAGGAAAGGGAGGCTCAGAGAGGGTGACCGATCTGCTTGTCATCACACAGAGCTGGGAGCCATCTCAGCCTTTTCCCCGGACACCTTTGGGGAAATTCCTGTCCATTAACCTCAAGCCCCTATCCCAACCAGCTGTTTTTTCTGATGATTTTACTCCCCCATACAGGGACATGAACCCCCGGCTCGGGGACATCCTGCAGAAGCTGGCACCCTTCTTGAAGATGTATGGCGAGTATGTCAAGAACTTTGACCGGGCTGTGGGGCTGGTGAGCACTTGGACCCAGCGCTCCCCGCTATTTAAAGATGTCGTCCACAGCATCCAGGTAGGGCGGCTGCTGTGGATGCAGACATCTTTGAGGTGCCCAAAGCTGGCTGTGTTATTTTTAAAAACATAATTTTTTTTTACTACAAAAAGTAATATGTGGGGGTACCAAAAATGTACATTTTAAGAAAGGAAAAACTGAGTTAAAATCGTAATACTTCACATTTGACTTCTGTAATTACATAGTACAAGAGGTGCTCACTGTGACTTGTTTTCATCTTTTGTTATCAATATAGTTTGAGGATTGTGGAATGTGGTAAGAATCCAGTCTTATAGTTAGCAGCTTGTCCCAGCATCACCAGTGACCCCACATGCATAGGCACACGCATGTGCACATGTACACACACACACTTGTGCACACCCACGCACACATTCCCCTGTCCCATTCAGACTAGGGGGCTCATGGCCCTCAACATTCTCTGAGGTGATCCTGGATTTAAGGCAGCACCTATTAACTTTCTGCATTTTCCCCAGGCCCCAGTGTCATCAGATCACCCACAGTTTCCTAGTACAGAGTCCTAGACCCTCTAAGGGGAGGGTCTTTATGGGGAGATTTGAAAGATCCCCATCTCAGTATCAGCATCAAGTCCCAGAGAGGAGGGCCCTGTCCTCATGCAGAGTCCCTTTTTTTCCCCTTTTATGTCCCCGTGCCCATGTCCCTCATATACCTCAGGCACTCCAAGTTCTCACCCCAGCTGTCCCCAATGAACAGTCACTCCCAGCCTCCCCATGCTCCACCTCTGTTGACCTGGCAGCCATGTAGCCTGTGCTGCATGTGTCTGCAGAGCCAGGGTCTGATCATCCCCAGCTGAGGCGACAGCCAGGCCTATGGGACAGAGTGGGAACCAGGAGAACAAGATGGGGTGCTTAGGCTGGTGCATGTGCTGTGGTATTGCAGTCCTACGAAGGGTACGAGAACAAAGTCCTGCTGTTTAGGACTCAGTGTCCATTGCCAGGAAGTGTGTTCCCCTTGGTCTTATTAACCATCAGTGCCAGGTGTGCCATTGCTCTTAGAGCCGACACTATAGATCATCAACAGGGGCCATGGCCAGTGTCCCCTGCTCCTCCCTAACTGGCTCTGTGGAGCCCTAGGTGTCCTTCCTAGTCCTGAAGTGTCACTATTTTTCTTTTCCTCTCTTCTCCCACTCTCCTCTCATCAGCAGCATCATCATTATCATCATCAAAGCCATAATTGAGGAAGTTGGAATCTGTCTAAATCTGCATTGGCCAATTAGTATCTGATTTGGTTATTCTCAGGACAAACAGAAGAAAAAGACAAAATCAAGACTAATTTGGTTTTCTTCTCAGGTTGCCAGTTGAGCTGAGATTCCACTCTAGGCTTCGGAATGCAGGAGGAGGAGAGGGCATACTCTGGGAGTCTGCACTTCCTCTGTGTAGATGCCACAACCCTAAAATCTCCACACAACCACAAAGCATAATGGAATTCATGTACTGTTGAGTGTGAATGATTTCCTCCCAATGGCAGCAAAACAGGCTGTCACCTGACACAGGCTGCATCCCCCATCTACACCTGGCAGACCATGTTCTTTGGGCGAACAGACCTTAGGTGGCTAGATACTTTCCATATTGGAATGACAGACAACTGTCTACAGCAGCTGCACCAGCATTACCTGGGCACTATCTACCTGGGAATACGTGTGGGCACACGACCCTGGTCACAGGCCAGCTGCTGGTTAGCATGTCCATGTCACTTTATCCTGGGCACTGGGCTGGGCAAGCTGTGGGAAAAACTCTCCACCCCAGACGCAGCACAGTACAGCCAGTCTCTCCAAACAACTTTGCCCTCAAGGACCCTGGGCTTTGCCTGAGGACATCGATGGTACTTCAGGCATCTGGGGGGTGGAGGCCTGGACGCTGTAAACATGCTTCAGGGCACATCGTGGCTGCAACTGAAAACTGTCTCACCCAAATGTTCCTCATGCTGAGGCTCAGAAGACCTGGCATGGAAAAAATGGGGTCGCATGATAGTCAAAGTTCCTGCGGCCTTTGGAGGTGTTTTTTGTTCCATCCAAAGAATAATTCAAATTATTTAAACTTTAATTTTGAAGTAGTTTCAGATATTTACAGAAAAGTTGCAAAAATGACAAACCGTTACCAACTGTTAACATTTTGTCTTCCTTATCATTCTCACTAAACACACATATGATTATTATTTGAGCTTTTTGAGACTAAGTTGCAGACACTATAGCCCTTTGTCACTAATCGTGAACAAGGGCATTCTCTTTCATGACCACAGCGCAGTGATCAAAATCAGGGAATTTTACATTGACGTTACAGTGTTATTTACTCCACAGCCCACGCTCAAATGCCACCAGTTGTCCCAATAATGTTCTTTTCTTCTGGTCAGGGCCTGAGGCCACACATTGCATGCACTATTGCTCTCATCTCCTGTTTAGAACAGACCTCTCTGCTTGTCTTTCTGAGGGGTACAGCCCCTGTCTGCTGCCTGTCAGTGTGAGTTTGTGCACTATTTGTTTATAGTTGGATTCAGGCTGTGCCTTTCCACTGTCATGAGCCTGTGTCCCTCTCACGGTGCCTTGCCTGGGGGCCCATGATCTTTGTCCCTTTTCTGGGGATGCTCACTTGATTAAAGGATGCATCCCTTAAAGGATTAAGGGATGTCCCCTTACCGGGACTCTCCAGGTAAAGTCAGGTTTCTCCCCCATTGATAAGTTTCTTATAGGTAGATCCTAAGGGATAACATAAATCTCCTGCTCCTCACCATCCCTTGAGATTCTTGCAATTGAAACAGTTGTTTTTAGGAAGGTTACAAACCAGGTTTTTTCTCACTCTGGTATAGCCGAGGTACTTTCCGGCTGGAAGCCATTCTGTTATAGGCCCTGAGCCCTGTGAGGGTGGCTAAGGTTCTCATGCCACTGGCAAGTGGGTAGGGAAAGCAGGTGGAGAACAGCGGCCATGGCCCCCTCAGCTGGAGGCTCTGCCCAGTGGGTGTTGTCGGGCCAGGGGGAGACAAAATGGCATGGGCTAGAGGAACTGAGCGGGGAGCACAGAGGTGACAGGTGACAGGATCCCGTGTGCATGTGTGTCTGGGCCTTGGATGCTGGATTAAGGGTATGGATTCATCCAGCAGCAGTAAGGAGGTGCTGATAGGCTGGGAGGGAGCCCAGGGGGATCTGGGGGACAGTACTGGGCAGGGCCTTGGGGAGACTCAGCACTCCAGGTGCGCACCCAAACACTCGAGCTTGTGTTTGTAATGAGAGGTGTCTGCAGAAGGACTCTCAGAGTGGCTTCAAGCATGAGGAGAGATGCTGACCCAGTTCCCTATGGGAAGAGTTGGGCAAAGCTCCTCTTGATTCCTTAGCAGAGGGTAGAAAGAGCATCAGGCCCAGGGTGAATGTGAGTGGGGAGGAAACCACTCTTTTTTTTTTAAACTCAAGCTATCACCCTGGGTAGAGCACTATGGTGTCATAGCTCACAGCAACCTCAAATTCCTGGGCTTAAGCTATTCCCTTGCCTTGGCCTCCCGAGTAGCTGGGACTACAGGTGCCTGCCACAATGCCCGGCTATTTTATATTGTTGTTGTTGTAGTTGTTATTGTTTGGCAGGCCCAGGCCTGATTCGAACCTGCCAGCTCTGGTGTATGTGGCTGGCGCCTCAGAAGCTTGAGCTATAGGCACCACCTGAGGAAACCACTCTTGAGGGGAAAATATTGTCTTGGCCAGGCATTTATTTTCTCTGGTGAGGATGTACATAAACGAGCAAGCGCTGGACTAGAGCCAGCCCACCTGGGCTGCAATTCCTTGCTCTGTCAGTCAGACTCTCTGAGCCTCGGTTTCCCCGGATGTAAAGTGTATTCCATGCCAGCCTTATCTCAAAGGGCAGCCAGTTCCAGACAGACTCCTGGGACTGTGATACACAGAGCAAGGGGTGGGACTGGTGTCCACAAGCTGTCCTCTGTTCCCCACAGAAAGAGGAGGTGTGCGGGAACCTGACACTGCAGCACCACATGTTGGAGCCTGTGCAGAGGGTCCCCCGGTACGAGCTGCTGCTGAAGGACTATCTGAAGAGGCTCCCAGGCGATGCCCTGGACCGGAAGGACGCAGAGAGTGAGTTGGGGAAGATGCAAGGCAGAGGGCTCCATGAGAGGGCAGGGGGACTCTGAGAACCCTGGAGGTAAAGGGGGAGGAGGAGACAGACATGGGGGGGGGGAGGCAGTGACACAGAGAGACATGCACAGAGAACTGAAAGAGAGGAAGATAGAGACAAGAGAGACACAGAAAGAGTGGGGGGAGGGAGACAGACACACAGAGAGACAGAGAGAGGAGGATAGAGAGAGGCAAGAGAAACAAAAGGGAGGGGAAGAAGAGACAGAGAGAGACACACAGAGAAACAGAAAGAGGAGGGGCAGAGAGAGAGTGTCCCCTAAACAGCTCAAGAAGTGACTTAGTGAAGTCACTAAGGGCAGAGAAAAATCTCCCCTGCTTGAAATGTGAGGGTACATGTTGGTCTAGGTAAGGTACTGCCCAATGTTGGCCCTCTTCAGATCTTAGGCCCCAGGAATGGGCCTCATGGGGCTGGTGGGGGCCTCTGATCCAAGGGCACTGACCAGTGTGGCCAGCGGCCAGCACAGGGCAGGGTCTGTGCAGGAGAGTGGAGGCCCCCACTGCTGTTAGCCCCAGCAAATGCACGTCTACAGGTCACACCCCTGGCCCCTGGGCCAGGCCTCTGGAGCAGCCCAGGTGCCTGTGGGAAAGACCAAGAGCAGGGACAGAACCTGGAGGCAGCTGCCTGGGAGCTCCAGAGTCAGCCTCTCATAAGAAAATGTGGAATGTCCCATGGGCCCCAGGCTAACCCTGAGTCTTGCCCCGGCAGGGTCCTTGGAGCTCATCTCCACAGCTGCCAACCACTCCAATGCTGCCATTCGGAAAGTGGTGAGTGCAGGGGAGGGGCTCACAGGGTGGGGCAGGGGGAGTGAGAGCAGGTGGACCTGTCCCCCAAGGGGGGCTCCCTGAGTGAGCACCTTCACCCCACCCTGTCCCCAGGTGGCCAGGGGCTCCACCTTGGTCTGGATAGGCCTGCTCTGTATTAGACCTATGATCCTTGGTAAGTTACTTGGCACTCTGTGCCTCAGTTTCCTCATCTGTAAAATGAAGGCTCTGACAGAACCTGTCTAATGGGGCTGTTGGGGGAATTAAAAGATTCACTCTACATGAAGTGCCGAGAACAAGACCTGGCTCAGTAAGCATCAGTCTTAGTGTTGTTGTCATTCATTCATTTACCCACTGACACTGTATTCGTCCCTTTCACGGGTTGACTCTGTGCACACCCAGCCCCCAGTACATGACAGGTGCACACCCAGCCCCCCCAGTACCTGACAGGTGCACACACAGCCTCCCTAGCACATGCCAGCTGCATGCCCAAAGTCCCTGTAAACACATCTGTTACCTGTCCACTCCCCCAAATTCCCACAAGGCCCTCACCCTGTCCTTGTCTGCCCTTCTAAGCTCTCCCTCTGCCAGCCCCTCTTGTGCCCCTACACTCCATGCCATGCCATATGGCCCACCTGCGTCTACCTGCATCTGTGCCAGAGACAGAAGGTCCAGCCAAATCAGCCTGCTAAGGGTATGCAGGCTGAGATCATTCACGTCCAAGGGCTGCTGAGGCACGGCAGGTCCAGACTCAGACCATGCCGTGTTGTTGAGGTTCCTGTGGGCTTGGCTTTGCTTTCTGCTGCGTTGGCTTCCAGCTCAGAGCTGGGGCCATAAGCTGTGACCTTGTCCTTTCACACCTCCAGGTGCTGGTTAGCCATATGATTACCCCACCAGTCACTGTGGCCAGGGGAAGGTGATATGCAGACTGGCTGAATTTGGGTCACAGCCATCCAACTCATCTTTTCATGCCTAAGTTTCCTTGTCTGTAAAGTGGAGATATTAATGGCACCCACATGATAGGGTTGGTGTCAGAATTAAATGAGTTAAAATATGTATCATATGTAGAACAGCACCTAGTTCAGCTATGAAGTTAGCTGCTGTTGTTATTTATTATTGTTGTTATTCTCTGCATGGTGAACTTCTATTCATCCTTCAGTACCCAACTGGAACATCCTCCCTTGTTTTCCCTCCTCACCTGTTGTTAGGAGGCTCATTGCCTATCTGAAACCTGGGTTTCGGTGGGGGGCAGGACAGGGCTCCGTGCCTGAGTTCCCACAGCTCGCAGGCTTTTGGCCCCTGTGACTGTGCCCCTGCCTGAGCCCCATGTCTCTTGCAGGAGAAAATGCACAAGCTCTTGGAGGTATACGAACAACTGGGTGGGGAGGAGGATATTGTCAACCCAGCAAATGAGCTGATCAAGGAGGGTCACATCCAGAAGCTGTCAGCCAAGAACGGCACCACCCAGGACCGTCATCTCTTCTTGGTAAGCCTGGCCCTGCCAGTCCAGCCACAGAGCTCCCTGCCTCCTCCTTGCAGCCCCAGGTGGTGCTGGCAGGGCTCTGCTTGCCCAAGGAATGGCTCTTCTGTGGCCTCTCCTGCTGGAACTGCTGGCATCATCTGTGGCTCCCCAGCCACATGGAGCCTGATTCCTCCACATCCAAGCACCAAGCCTTTGCCACAGCACTGCTGCATTTGTTGTACACATCTCCTGTTTTTATCCCTCACAGCCAATGTCCCTGTTCTTCCTAATCTGCTTCCACTGGAGTTGAGCAGACTCTAGTTCATAGCAACCCAGAAAGCATAAAGAACCATAGCAGGGTGTTATGATTTCAACTATCCCAAAACCAAACCCTGGCCTGGAGGGAAAGGAAAAGGGCAAAAGGAAAGATCTACTCTGGGCGCCCCTGATGAAGTGGGAACAGACATGACTTTTCTTCCCATTTCCATTTTCCTCTAGTTCTTCTTATATAAATAATTATTTCTTTGAATTTTTTTTTTTTTTTTTTGAGACAGAGCCTCAAGCTGTTCCCTTGGGTAGAGTGCTGTGGCGTCATAGCTCACAACAACCTCCAACTCCAGGCTCAAGCGAGTCTCCTGACTCAGCTTCCCAAGTAGCTGGGACCACAGGCACCCGCCACAATGCCTGGCTATTTTTTGGTTGCAGCCATCATTGTTTGGCAGGCCCGGACTGGATTTGAACCCACCACCTTAGGTGTATGTGGCTGGCGCTTTAGCCACTTGAGCCACAGGCGCCGAGCCTCTTTAAAATATTTTTTAAAAGTTTTTAAAATTTACATTGAGTAAAACTCACTTTTGCTGTACAGTTCTGAGTTATGACAAATACAGTTGTTGTAACCACAATGAAGTTACAGAACAATTTGATCACTCCCTGCCAAACTCCATTTTCCTGCCCCTTTGTGGTTAAGTGTTCCCCCTTCTTCTCTGCCATGACAACCAGCGATCTGTTCTCTGTTTCTATAATTATGCCTTCTTCAGAATGCCACATAAATGCCATAAAATGAGTCTGGCTTCTTGTCCTTGACTTGTGCATTTGAGAAGTTCATCCATATTCTTTGTTCATTCAATAGTTTTGTTTTTTTATTACACAACCCATGGTTTAAAAATTTTAAAAGGGAAATTTGGACAAAATAAAGCTATTATCAATAGATTCTTTGCCCAAACATGTACTAATTATTAAAATAATCCACATATTTACTTTGTGACTCACATCTGTAATCCCAGCACTTTAGGAGCCTGAAGCAGAAGGATCTCTTCAGGTCAGGAGTTTGAGACCAACCTGAGCAATACAGCAAGACCCTGTCTGCACAAAAAAGTATTTAAAGAAAATTAGCTGGGTGGAATGGCATGTGCCTATAGTCCCAGCCACTTGGGAGGCTGTGGCAAGTGGATTGTTTGAGCCCAGGAGTTTGAGTTATAGTGAGCTATGATCGTACTACTACACTCTAGCCTGGAAAACAGAATGAGACCCTACCCCCTACCAAAAAAAAAAAAAGTGAAAAATTGTGTATGAGAAGCTCACTGGGGCCTCTGGGTCCCCCACCGGGGAGCCCCTGCCCTTCACCTGTGCCCATTCCTCTTGTAGTTCAACAGCATGATCCTTTACTGTGTGCCCAAGCTGCGGCTCATGGGCCAGAAGTTCAGTGTCCGGGAGAAGATGGACATCTCAGGCCTCCAGGTGGGTGAGCCCATGTTGGGGGTCATTGCCCATGAATCCTCACCTGGTTTGAAAGCTGACTGGGAAAATGACACTGAAGAAGAATAACTCACGCCAGTTTAAAAAAAAACACAGGGTCTGAGAATGCCTGGAGAAGGCTTACATTAACTCAGGCTGAGTAAACTGAGAAAATGCGGCCTCTCTCTGGCCTCTTCAGAAGGCTTTTATTGATTTTTAGCAAGGTGCAAATGCAGAATGCAAAAATGCCAAAAGATAGGGTTGAAAGAATCCCAAATCCCCAAGAAGACTAGATAGAGAGAGAGGCTGGGTAAGAGGTAGGGGGTTGTTAATAGACAGCCTGCAAATGGTGTATTTAGAAAGGGGGAGGGAAAAACTAGTTCTGTCCCCACAGGGGAAGTAAGCCAGGTTTCCTGAAAGTTCAAAGAGCTTAACCCCTTTCACAAGTTGCATAGGGATAGTCCTTTCTGTTGCAGTGCCTCTGGGCTCTTTTCATCTTCCAAGGTTTTTATATAGTTAGGGGAAACCATTTTTCGAGTGTTTTTCTCTAAAATGTTAGTTGTATTGTAATTAATTAAATGTGTTAATGCAGAAATTCTCAACTGAGGGCTGGGAATGTCCAAAGATTCAGGATAGGGTCTAGGGTCTGTACTTCCCTAAGGCCACCCGCTGGTTGGGTGGGTGGCTAGAGCTGCGGGCTGGGCCTGAGGATCACCTGGAGCCACCACACCTGCTATTATGCTCTGTTGTCATGTACTGATGAAAGGATGGAACCTGAGGCTGCAGTTCTTCTGAAGGAATGACTGTTTTATCAGTTCTGGGCACACATTGTCCTATTTTTGTGTCTGAACTCAGGGCACACTTGCTCAGAGGATTCAGATGTCTGCAGGGTGGGTGAGGCCCTCTTCACTCTTTTTATAAGACCCTCATCCCTCCTGAGGGGGTGCCTGGCAGTGCTGGTGGGAAACACACAACTCCACTGGGGCTGGCTGAGGTGACACCCAGAGAAGGCCTGCCAGGCTGGCAGGTTTGACCAGCAGAAACCCTCTGTGACCCTGAGCCTTGGTGGCCCCCTTTCCACAGACCTGAGGGGCTGCTGTGTCTCCTTTGCTTTCTCCTTAGGAAATAAATCTAAGTCAGAGACGGTGAGGCCGGAGTCACTAAACTATCCCACCTTGTTTTGTTTATGTTTTATTCTTTGTCCTTGTCCATCAGGTGCAGGATATTGTCAAGCCGAATGCAGCACATACGTTCATCATAACAGGAAGAAAAAGGTCCCTGGAGCTGCAGACTCGGTAGGCCTCAGGCTTCTCCAGTGTCTACAACTGTGTAAATGAATGGCTTTGACCTGAGATTTTAGCAAATGCCTCTTCTTTCTCCCTCAAATGGATAATCTTGCCATATGTTTTTAAAAATTAATTAATTTATGGTTTAAAATTTAACAGTATCATGGTAAGTTAGTGAATTAGGTAAATTAAACCTCTGCCTACCTTCTGTCCCCAGGCTGTCAGACATTCCTAACCATCCCCTAACTATCCTTCTAGGATGTTTTATGTACATACATATGTCTATTTTTTTTTTTTTTTGGAGACAGAGTCTCACTTTGTCGCCCCTGGTTGAGTGCTGTGGTGTCATAGCTCGCAGCAACTTCAAACTCTTGGGCTCAAGTGATCCTCTTGCATCAGCCTCCCAAATAGCTGGGACAACAGGCATCTGCCACAGTGCCTGGCTATTTTTAGAGGTGAGGTCTCGCTCTGGCTCAGGCTGGTCTTGAACCTGTGAGCTCAGACAATCTACCTACTTTGGCCAGCCAAGTACTGGGATCACAGGCGTAAGCCACCTCAGTGGGCCATGTGTCTACTCTTTGAATCACAGATAACTGTTTACAGTGTAGACTGCTTTGCATCTTGCTTTTTTCATTTAACTTATCAAGAATCACCCCATATGGGTGCCCCATATCCTAGAGCAGCGTAATTCTGTTGTCATTAATCAACTCCCACTGATGAGGGCCTAGAGTCCTCCAAGACCTTACTGTTGGAAGCAGTGCTGCAAATGGTATCCATGTATTTAGGTTTTTGTGCATATGTCTTTAGAGCCATCAGGTAGATTCCTGATGTAGACGTGCTGCTCAAAGAGTGTACATTTGTTTTGAATTTTGGTGGATGTTGTCACCTCATCTTTTAAAATGATGCCAGCCTGATGCTCTGACTAGCTGTGTGTGTGGGTCCTATCTCTCACATTCCACAAATGATGAGATCTTTGTAATGACCTGTGATGGTTCAGGGAGGCATTGTTGTACATCTGTTGCAGAGGGCTCTGTGTGGCACACCTAGCTCCACCAGGCCCCACTTGTCCAGGGTTTTGGAGATCTTCAGGCCAGTCTTTGTGCATTTATTTTTTTTAACTTTTTAGAGACAGAGTCTCACTTTATTGCCCTCAGTAGAGTGCTGTGGTGTCACAGCTCACAGCAACCTCCAACTCCTGGGCTTAGACGATTCTCTTGCCTCAGCCTCCTGAGTAGCTGGGACTACAGGTGCCCACCAGAATGCCTGGCTATTTTTTTGTTGCAGTTTGGCCAGGGCTGGGTTTGAACCTGCTGTTCTCAGTATATGAGGCCGGCACCCTACTCACTGAGCTACAGGCGCCACCCACCCAAGCTGCATTTATAAGACAGGCTTGGGTGTACCCTGCAGGCTGAGGGGCAGCTGGTGGTGTAGAGTTAGTATAAAAGACTGGATTAACAAAATACTATTTTGATTATATAGGACAGAAGAAGAGAAGAAAGAATGGATTCAGGTAAGTTCCTAAAGTTTTAAGTAACCAAATGACCACATTATTGAGCAGTATGGCCATTCATGTTGGAGCAGAGAGAGAGGGTGGCCTGAGGTCCCCAGCACTGCTTGTCTCCCATGTCCTGTCCTGAAGGGATGCAGTGACTGTGCTAAGCACCTTCAGATGCTATAAGCCTGTCAGTCCATCAACTTGTTTTAGGCCCCCCATGTAAACATAAATGGACTCCAAATAAACAGTACAGGCTCAGTGTTCTCTCCTGGTAGATTCCTGAGTTGTTCGTTGGCCAGTGGGGGTGGGGTTGAGATGGCCAGTGGCCTGGGAGCTGTTCCGAGAATGCCAGGACTCTGTCTGCAGAACAGAGACGGGCACGGCTCTTCTGCGGGGTGGCATCCTCCTGCACTCCCTGATGGCCCTTGCTGCTTTCTCATTGTGTTCAGATTATCCAGGCCACCATTGAGAAGCACAAGCAGAACAGTGAGACCTTCAAGGCCTTTGGAGGCTCCTTTAGCCCAGATGAGGACCCCAGCCTTCCTCCAGAGATGCCTGTGAGTCAGCAGCCTGGGCTGTGGAGGGGCCTCCAGGGCATGTGGCTGCCTGCCAAGAAGCAGAAGGGGCAGGTGTTTCGGAGGGAAGCTCATCCCCCTGATGCTTTCCTCATGCTGGGACCAAGGACCAGGGTGCTGGTGGTGGGCAATGTGTATTCATCTGTTCATCCTTTACTGGGTGCCCACTGAGCCTGCTGGGCCCTGAGACCAGAGGTCAGTGCTCAGTTGTGCAGGAAGGATGCAGGCATGGAGGAAGTGTTCCTCACAAGCTGTTTTGTCATCTTGTGCCTATTGCAGATGGCAGATGGGTGCAGCCCAACTATACACCCAGGGTTATCGTACCCTGTGGAAACTGAGTCTCAGAGGAGGTTGGTGACATGCCTAGGCCACAGAGAGTAGAGCCTTGGCATCCTTCCTACATGCCACATGTATAGCACGTCCAGCAACTGCAAGCATCTTTGTGTTTTACCCCCAAGCACTCTTGCCCTTAGGAGATGGAAGTTCAGAGCCCCTTGGAGTGAGCTTTGGGGATAGCTCATTCCCTGTCCCCATGTGGAGCTGCCCCCTGGGCGCAGCCTTCATCACTCCTGGAATTTCCTGGAGTCAGGGAAGGAGGATGGGAGGAGAAGGCAGATCTCTACCTGCTGTGAGGAGGGCCCTGTAGTGGCTGGTCCTAGGAGAGGTGGAGGCGAGGGGCTGGAGCTGCAGCAAAGACACATCTGGGCTGGAGGCACCCAGGAGAGGTGGTGCCCTGGGCCCTATGCCAGGCTCCAGCCTTCATGAGGGCCGCAGGCATGACTTTAGAGTGAAGATGCCCTGGCTCTTGTCCCCTTGCCTGGCCTCAGGCTGGCCCAGCACGCCCAAGGCCTAACTCCAGGCTGGCTTCTCCCACCCCTACCTCCCGGAGTCTGCTGGCAGCAGTCCAGCTCTCCATTTATCCACTTCACATTTGCATCAAATCTGCTGCCTTTTTTCTGCCTCCCAGACTTATTTTGTAAGAAAACTTTGCACCATTCTCAGTCTGTGATGGCCTTATGTGGAGATGACCTAGGAGTGGGAGATACTGAGCATGCTGTTGACTCCGAGGCTGAGTCCAGCACCTTGCTCTGTAGGAGAGAGTTGGGGGCTGCAGAGATGCTTCATAGGGACCCCTGGAGGATGAGGAGGGAATCCAAGGGACCTCCCTAGCTGGGCAGCTCAGTGCGGTTTAGAACCTTCATCAAGGTGGGCCTCAGGGAGGGACCACCTACCAGCCACCCACCCATGCTGGGAAATGCTGATTCCCAGGATGCCTTCTAGCTAGCTAAGGACCAGGCCAGGAAGGGAGCAGCTTCTCCAAATTCACAGAAAATGCTAGGCTCTGAGAATTCCTTCTCCCAAACCTGCCCTCAATGTACAGAGGTGCTAGTGTTTCAGAAAACGTCCTTCTGCTACATGGGGCTGTATGACCTTGGGATCTCTCACTCAGCCTATGTTGTCCCTTCCAGATGGGGAACACCAGCTCTGGGGAGTCTGCGGTGATGACGGAAGGCAGCAGTGCTACAACAGGGGTGAGTGGTCCATACCCAGTGGTCAACAGGGACAGAAGGTAGAAAGGGAGAGTCTGATGAGGGTGACTGGTAGGAAGAAGACCAAGGCCATTTGAAGGGCAAGGGGCAAGGGGTCATTCTTATCCCTGGCCTGTGTGACTAGGGCCTGGGTGTGTCAATATGAAGCTGTGTCTGTGAGCAGGCGCTTGATAAGACAGGCACACAGGAGTCTGTCAGTGTGGGGGTATCCCTTACCTGGGCCTGGAGTGGTCACACAGCTGTGCACACATGTGAGAATCCTCTGAGCTCTACATGAATGTCTGTGCTCTTAAGATGAGTGAATTGTGCCTTGGTAAAGCATGTACTGACGTGGAACCAGGTCCTTAAGAGGTGCAGTACTGCAAAGAGGACAGCTCAATTCCTACGCCAATCCTGGACTTTTCACCACTCTCATCTGTGTTTTGGTTCTCCTCAAGGTTGTGTGGCTTGTGGCGGCATGGCTCAGAGCCAGGAAGCCTGTGTCCACATGTCTGCCTGCCAGGAATGGCCATGGGCACTTTATGAGGCCTTTCTCCCTCCATTTAACCTGGGGAAGTGAAACAGGATACAGAGCGTGTCACTGTGCCACGAGCATCAGAACCTGGGGCTGCTGTCCTTGGCTCTTGGCCTGATGCTTACTCACACTGATAGCCACACGCAGCCCTAGACCACCATGGTGCAGCTGTGAGGGCCACATGCTGGGAGGGCCACTCTCATGGAGGAATGACATGACACCTGTGTGGGTTGGCTATCCCAGATGCAGGGTCTGCTTCTCCTCTTGGTCACTAGGCCTCCACCTTGGGGACACAGCCCCCACGTTCTCTCCTACAAGTCTTCCCTTCCCTCATGCTTAATCTGTCTCTTAATTTCTCTGGCTTTCTCATTCTGTCTGTCTCTGTCTCTGTCTCTGTCTCTCTCTCTCTCTCACACACACACACACACACAGACCCAGGGCTCCATCTTGGAGTAGGTGTCCCACTGGTCAAGGCATAGAACAGCTGATGGTTTAGCCTGAACTTTAACCCCCATCCCCCAAGAGTTCACTATAAACATTATGCTGTTATGCAGCTCAGGATGTGAGCCATTCTGGCATTCTGCTATGGCCAACCTCATTTTGTGGAAGAGGAAACAGGCTCAGAGCAGTGGGGTGAGCTAGACTTGATGAAGGGGGAGGACTTGCCATGAGGACAAGACTGTTGTAGAGGGCAGGAGTGGAGGGAGAGAAGGACTGACTGGCTACCTTCCCCACTTCCCACTATCCTCTTGGTCTCAGGGAACAAGTGTCCCTGTCCTGAGCTAAATCTCTAGGAGGAACACACAAGCCCCTACCCTGGGCTGCCTGCATGGACCAGTGCTAAGGCCTACTCAGGTGGGTCTGTCCAGGTGGGTGGCCAGATGCTGGCTACCACACTGTCCCTGTGACTTAAGCTGTATCAGGTTACACCAGTTGTGTCCTCAGGTGGTTGGGCATTGGAAACTTCCAGGAAACTCAGTAGGCTTCAGAGAAGGATGTAGGATTTCAGGGGCACAATAGAGGACAGGAGGAAAGGAGGGACTTCAGAAAATAACAAATGGGCCAGAGGAAAGGCACCTTACTCAAAAGGTGCGGCCACCTGGCCTCTGCAGAACAGAAAGCCACCCCAAGGGTAAATCTTGTCAAAACCGAAAATCAGGAAGTCTGAACACAGCACCTTAGTCTCACTGCGTAACCTCCTGAGCGGCTTCCTGTGGTCTCCTCTGGGCTGTCTGGCCTCACTCTGCTTCCTGGCCACCCTCCCCCACCACGCCTTGGTCTCCCCTTGCTCTACCAGGCCCCCAGCCCTTGGCCCTTCTGCCTGCCCTGCCCACATCCATGTGTCCTGTCCCAGGGTCCCTGGTAAAAACATTTCCCATATGAATCAGCCCATCGGCAACTTTTTGAATTGCCAAACCATGTGTGTGGCTGCACCCCAGACAGACAAAGCTCTATTAGTCCCTTTTCTGAGGCATTTAGTGATGTTATGAAAAGCCACATGTACTCATGAATGTGTGACTGCATTCCCCAAAGCATGAGCGGCCCAGAGTGGGCAGGCACACAATTGCATAGTCACAACAGGACCCTTCTGCCCTCACACATGAGTATGAGGCACTCCCCATCAGCTTCTCATCCCTCAGCCAGGGCAGGTACCCCTGACATCTCCATGATGAGGCCCTGGCACAGAGCACTGCCTCCCACCTGGACAGCTCACATGGGGAAGCTGAGCTGAACTCTGCATGGTGACCTCCACAATCCAGCCTGGGACAGGCCTGTGGAGGCCTCAGTGGTCATTCGCTGGCCACAAAGCCATCAAGGTGCAGTGAGAGCTATCCATTCTTTGTTGGTGCCACTGTACCTGGATGTAAGTCCACAGGCCCTGGACATAGGACCCTTGGGGATGCAGGAAAGCAGAAATGGGTGGTGGCTTTGTGGTTGTAGAGGCCCTGGGGTGGACAGGACCTGTAGGAGCCTTTGAGCTAAAGCACAGGACATCTGCAGGTAGGATGGGGTCCCACATCAAAGACTGACAGGCAGTTGTTGCCTAGAATGTTCTAGCTGGAAGGAACCTAAAAGGCTATGTTTTAGAATGTTTTAACCTGTGGAAAGGCACAGGCTCAGACTGGCCCTGGAGCAAGGCTTTGGGCAGGTACCGAGTCTGGAGATTCTCTTTGCCTTGGGCAGAGATTGGAGAAGCTATCAGGTGCCCATCGATGAGCAAGAAGGTAACTGGGGGCCCCTGTAGCTCAGGGCCTCTGTCTATGGCTGGGGGTCTGCCTGGGTCAGGCTGTGGTCGGCTGGATCACAACAGCCATGCTTGGCAGGGTGGACGTGCAGTCTGCCTCACTCCCTTTCTTTCTCCTGACCCAGAGCTCAACCTTCCTGGGGTTCCACAGTGTCCCATGGCAGCCAGATGCTCAGGGTCACATTCCAGTTCCAGTCTCTTGTCTCTGTCCCATACCAAGCCAGGGATGGCCCCACAACAAACAACTGAGCAATAAACTGCAACTGCAGCCCTGACCTCACCACCACCAGTGCCCGTGGCCTGGCCTGGCCATGCGTTTCTCATTGTGTCTTCCTGTGAGCAGACTGAGTGGAGGGGAGATTTTGGTGGCAACTGTACAGGGTGAGTGTGGTGTACATTTTACAAGGAAAGTGAGTTTATTCTTGCACCAAAAGGTGTGACTTTTCTATAGTATTCTTAACTTAAACGCTTGCTTTTAGCAAATTTAAAGAGGAAAACAAATCCATTGGTAGGGGAATGGTTTATTTCCTCAGCCCCAATTTCTTCAGCAGAATAGTCTCTGGAAGCTTCTCTTCTCTTCTTCTTCCAAGAGAAGCTAGAACCAAAGTAGGTATTTTTTCAAAGGGCCTCCCAGAATTTAAAGCCTTCTCTTTGCAAAAGTCATATCACTCTAAACAGAAACCCAACATGTCAGAGTTTGAGAGGCCTCCCAGGGCCCCAGACTCACTATGGCTGACACATGGAGCCCTCCAAGGTGAGGCACTTGCCTCCAGCTCCCTTTCCTGGGCTGTGCCAAGGGCTCTTCCCAGGTGCTGCCTTCCCCTACAGCTCTGGTTCTGCCCTTCCTGGGACACAGCCCCACCTGTGCCTGCCCTCGGGGCTCCAGGGCAGAGTAAGGAGCAGAGTGACCACTACTTCCCCAGCTGCCTCCTGTTGAAAGAACCCCAGGCAGTACCTGAAACCAACGGTCTATATGTTGCTGCGGGCTCATTTCTGATGTCTGATGTAACTAAAGCAGTTTATCAGGGCCACTGATTGGGATCTGTCTGACTGAGCTGTTCCCCAAGTTCCCAGATGTGTGGTGAAATTTGCTGAAAAGAAAATGCTGAGAGAAGAGCTCCATTGGCCCTTGATGGAGACTACTTTCCATGTTGACTTTGGCATGTTTTGGACACTTTGAGGTGGAGTCACTTGGCCAGTTACTGAGGAAGCCACAATTCTCCATCTTTCTGGAAAGACTTGGGCCCAGCCTTTCTGATATCCTGACATCCACACAGAAAACCTGAGACACTGTCCTTGGTCACCTTGCCTGACAACGTCCAAAAAGGGACCTATCCCTGAATACTCAGTGGTCCTTAGTCACCTGGTCCCCTGCCAACTGCAAGTCTAACTGGACCTCAGTCTTGGGGAACCAGTGTGGTCAAGGGCAGAGCCACAGCAAGCACTTCACTGGGCTATAGTCTTCAGCACTATGGGGGTGGGTGCAGGGCCAGTACCTGCCATGTCTGACCACTAGGCTCAGCTCCTTGGCTCCTAACAGTGGGAAGACTTGCTAGATGAAGGACGCCTCTGGGACCCTCAGTCCTAGTCCCAACCATGAGCCACCCTGCCTGCTCCTAGAACCATTCCCTGACCCTTCAACTTGGATCAGTCTCTGCCGGTCCTCAGAGACTGAGCTGTGTGGCCCAGTCATAGCCTCTCCTCCCTTGTGGGTTGGCCTCTGCCCCTCAGAGATTTCCTGTAGCCCCCAGAGCCTCCTGCGTTTTCAGCCACCATGTAGTGCTGCTTGCTAGATGCTGTCCCAGGGCCACCTGGAGCAGGCAGTTCTGGTCTGAGGTGTGTGTCAGGCTGCCCTGCTGTTAAGCACTCCACATCTGAGACTCTCAGAGTCCTCATCTGGAGAACAGGAATTTGAGGACAGCCTGAAGGTCGATGGAGGGTGAAGGCTCCTGGGTCATGGCAGACCCTGTGGATGGCTTCATTCTCTCTTCTGTCCCTCCCCTGCCCCAGACCCCTCTCTTCTTCTTTTCAGTGGATATTTGCCCACCCCCCACCATCAGTCTTAAGAGGTCGTCACAAGAGAAGAAGCCCTACGTGGGGCAGAGAGCTCTAGGGGGCTAAGTTTGAACTCTCAAATCCCATGTGTGAGGCTGGCTGCACCTGAGATTCATATAGCTCTATTAGCCCCTTTTCTGAAATATTTTGGGATGTTATGAAAAGCAACATGTACTCAGGAGTGTGTGAACACTACCCTAAGGGTAGTGCTTAGGGGAGAAGGGAGGCCCAGGAAAGCACAGTTTAGTTCTTGGCCCATTCTCCACCTCATGGGTTTGGAGTCCTGACTGTGGTCCAGAGCATGAGATAAACTGCAGAGGGAGCCCAAGGCTGCCCCACCCCACACACACTAAGCATCCTTAGAGTGAGACCCATGAGATGGAGGTGCTGGGAACCAAGGCAGAGCATACATTCTGGTAACCCTTGGAGGAGCCATCTCTGCCCTCAGGCTCTTGTGCAAGGTGCTTTCCTCATGGTAGTGGGACCTGTAGGTGGGTAAACCACGTACCAGGCCTCACAGCTAGCAAGTGCAAAGCCAGAGTTTGAACCAAGGTGTCAGTTTGCATAGGCTTCCATAACAAAATACCACAGACTTGGTGACTTAAACTACAGAAATTTACTTCTCACAGTTCTGGAGGCTGGAAAGCCTGAGGTCAAGGTACCAGCAAGATAATTTCTCCTGAGGCTTTTTTCCTTGGCTTGACGAGGGGGGCATCTCCCTCTGTCTGTCCCTCTGTGTGTGTCTGTTTCCTCATCACCTCTTGTTATAAGGATACCCGTCAGATTGAATCCAGGTATACTCTAGGGACCTCATTTTAACCTCATCACCTTTTTAAAGGCCAAATACAGTCACATTCCAAGGTACTGAGGTGTTAGGGCTTCAGCATATGAATTTTGGAAGACACAGTTCAGCCCATCGTAGCCTCCAATGCTGACGCCCAGTCTGAGCCATCTCTTCTGATGCAGTGAGCCCTCTTTCCCTCCCTAGCCTTGGCAAACTGTGACTTTGTGCTATTCTTGTTTCCTCTGTTTCCTGGCCTGCCATACAAATACACTCGCCATTTTTTTTCTTCTAGCTTTAATATTTTAAAATAAACCTCAGACCTCATTTTATGTTTCTCAGAAATACTAATGGTAAGCTTATTTTTCATGTTTCACTTTTAAACAGAAAAACATGCCTCCTGGCCTCAGTTTTTCTGTCTGTACACCAGAGAGGTTGAGATAAACATTTCTAGTGGCAGTTCCTCCTGGGGAATTTGATAAACATCTTTGGCATTTTTTTAAAACCTTAATAGTCTGTGTCACTAGCAAGGAGTCTCATGGGACGCCACTTGCTAGGAGATGTAGCCTCCCAGAAAGGAAACGCTGGGGGTGGGAGGAGTTTCAAAGCACAGGAAGTTATTTCATTAAAGGATGGGGTACTTCCGTGGTTTGGGGGCCATTGTAACAAGAAAGGGTAATTGTCAAAACTATCAGGATTTCGTGTACTATAATAAGGCCCATAACCCCCAGGGTGTCACTCATCCCATTTTATGGGGTCAGAGAGGCCAAGTGACTGGTCCAGGGTCTCACAGCTGATGAGAGGCAGGAGCCTAGGGTCTGCCCCTCACCATACACTGCTCATAACCCCAGGGAAACCAAAGCTTGCGCCACATCCTGCACTTTACACTACCCTCCTTTTTAGGAAGTTCAGGCAGCATCACAGAGGTAGAGAGGAGTAAAACCTCTGACCCCAGGCTCTTTTGGTTTCCTCACTTGTGCTCCTGATGTTTACAAGCCTTCTGCGCATGCAGGCCAGGTGCACCTCATCCATGTGGTGCAACTGGCAGGATGGACGTCCCCTGGCACCTACACAGAGCAGGTGCAGGGCCAGGTGCAGGCCATAGCCTGAGGCCCGCGGGGTGGAGCATGGAAACCCCAAAGTCCCCAGTGCTGTGGGCTGTGTCTGGGCCCCCTGCCTCAGTAAGTACTGTTGTCCTCCAGCTTTGGCTCCCTTCCATATTTTCTCAGACGCACCAGATAAAATCATGCGCCGATTGTTCCAAACACAAAGATCTCCACTTACAACCTTACTTAAGGTGGTACACCACCAGGCAGCCTCTAACAGGTGAGGCTGGGAAGGGACCATGGTGTTCTTGGCTCTGTACTTAATTCTCTTTGACACATTCCACTTTTTGCCCTGAGAGGGCATTGCTTGTGCAATCAGAAGAGCTGCCCCTCCACTGCCCATGGGAAGAGGGCACACATGACTCAGAAGCTGATGATGGTTATTTGCCTTCTTGTAGCTTGAGCCCAGAAAACTATCATCTAAGATCAGGCGTGACAAGGAGAAGCAGAGCTGTAAGAGCTGTGGGGAGACCTTCAACTCCATCACCAAGAGAAGGCACCACTGCAAGCTATGCGGGGTGGTAAGTCCTGGGGAGAGGGAGGGCCATCACACCACTTGCCCAGTTCTGCAGGGGGCTTCTCAGATCCAGGTCCCATCTCACAAATGCAGATGCCTTTGAGGGTGAAACTGTCCCATCTGAAGTAGAGGTGAATTGCTTTTCCCTGGTCAGCTATGGTGTTTGACACACACTCCTTGTGGTTGAAAAAGTTGTGCATCTGGGCATGGTGGCTCATGCCTATAATCCTAGCACTCTGGGAGGCCAAGGCTGGTGGATTGCCTGAGCTCAGAAGTTTGAAACCAGCCTGAACAAGAGTGAGACCCTGTCTCTGAAAAAATAGCCAGGCATTTTAGTCCTGTAGTCCTAGCTATTTGGGAGGCTGAGGCAAGAGAATCACTTGAGCCCAAGAGTTTGAGGTTTCTGTGAGCTATGACACTCTGGCATTCTACCAAGGGTGACAAAGTGAGATTGTGCCTCAAAAAGAAAAGAAAAAGGTGTTCAGGAGACAGGGGAAGGTGAAAGGTGTGGGTATGGTGGGAGCTCCTCCTGCTGGCCTTTGCCCCAGTGCTTGAGGGGTGTGAAGATTGGTAAGCCTGTGTGACAAGGGGGAGTGCTATCTCTGACTAGTGCTCCAAGTGCACACCATCTCCTTTCCTCCTCACTCAGCCCCAATGCCCTTTCTCTGGAGAATAGGCTGCTGAGTTGTTGCTCAATAATTGAACATAGGGAGGTGCCTGTGGCTCAAAGGAGTAGGGCGCCAGCCCCATATACCATCCATGGGTGGTGGGTTCAAACCCGGCCCCGGCCAAAATAACTGCAAAATAAATAAATAAATAATTGCACATAAAAGTATCCCTGAGGAAAGAACTAATGATTCAAGTATTTTAGGTTCAGATATTAAAACTGAACCTATGTTAGCAAGTACATCTTAGCACAGAACTGCCTTGGAGGTGTTTTTACCCAAAGGGTACTAGCAGCCTGTACCTGACCTTGCATCTTGCCACGCTAGTAGGGAGTGGAGGGAGGAGGAATAAATAGTTGAGTCTTTGGATGGACGATGGATGGATAGATGAGTTGGTGGATAGATGGGTATGTAGATGGGTGAATGGGGATAGATGGATGGTAAATAGATAGATAGGTAGATGGACAAATGATTATATGGGTGGTGGATGGATGGATGAACAGATGGGTAGATGGATGGATGGATGAATGGATAGATGGATGATGGATGGATGAATAGGATAGATGAACAGATGGGTGATTGAATGAGGGATGATAGATGGATGGATGGATAAGTAGATGGATAAAAGAATAGATGGATAGATGGGTGGGGGTAAATATTTAGGTAGGTGGATAGATGGATGGTTGGATGGATGGATGGGTAGGTGAATGGGTAGATGGATGGGTAAAATAGATGGATGGATGGATGAATGGATGGATGGATGGATAAAAGGGTGGATGGGTGGGTAGATGGATGGATGGTGAATGGAAATATGGATGGAAGTAGAGATGTAGGCAGTATAGATAGATGGGTAGAAAATTGATAGGTGGATACATGGAGAATGGATGAATGGATGGATAGGCAAATAGATGAATGGCATATGGAAATATGGATGGTTGGGTGGGTAGATGAATGGGAGAATGGATGGATAGATAGGTGAAAATGGGTAGATAGATGGATAGGTGGGTGAAAGATGGATAGATAAATGGCTGAATAGAGGATGGACAGATAGATGAATGGGTGAAGGATGGAGGGATGGTAGATGGGCAATATGATCTATACCTCTTAAAGAACTCTCAGTTTGGGGCCCACTTCACATTCTGTGGAATTAGGGGATTTAATTCAACCCTACTTTTCATATCAGACATGGATGGAATCTGTTGCTTTAAGAACCATCCTCAGAATATATGCCCACGTCCCTGCTAAGCTATGGACTTCGGGCTTTGTGACTATTTGGGACCAAAAGTTTGGCCTCTGTTAATCTTCCCTGGGCTGAATGTCCTCATGGCCAACCCATACTTTACCACCTAGCATGGGCAGCTCAGCACCCTCAGTGACATTACTGTTTCTCTGTGTCATCCTCCTTCCCACCAGGATAACCTTTATCCTAACTTGTGACAGCACACAGTAGTTTTGCCTGGAATTTTGGTGTCTGGCTTCTTTTACTCATCAGTGTGTTTGTGAAATTAATCCATTATCCATTTTTTTGGGCTCAATTTACTTATCCATCCTTCTGTTGTTAGACGCTGGCATAGTTTCCAGTTAATGATAATGAGACAAAACCAGAAGCCTTCTCCTGGTTTTTCTTGCCTTGGTTTGTCCAGTGTTCCTGCTTCCTCACACAGGAAATGAAAGAAGAAAGAGAAAGGTCATTCCATACTGGTCAAGGGAATAATAAAACAAGAGGAAATTTAAATTCTAAATATTTATGCACCCAGCATAAGTGCTCCCAGATTTATGAAACAGACCTTGATTAGTCTGAGCAATATTATATCCCATAACACCATAGTAACTGGGGACTTTAACAGTACTGGACAGATCCTCTAAACAGAAAGTGAGCAGAGATATAAAGGAGTTAAATGTGACCCTAGAACAAGTGGGTTTAATATATATACACAGAACACACCATCCCAAAGCTAAGGAATATATGTTGTTCTCATTAGCCCATGGAGTATACTCTAAAATAGATCATATCCTAGTATATAAATCAAAATTCAATAAAATTAAAAGAATTAAAATTATACCTTGTATATTCTCAGACCACAAGGCAATAAAGGTGGAACTTAACTGCAACAAAAATGTACATCCCTACACAAAGGTATGGAAATTAAACAAGCTTATACTGAATGACAGTTGGGTCAAGAAAGAGATAAAGCAAAAATTGAGGGAAATTGTTAAATCCCTAAAACATAACAATAATGAAACTACAAGTTACCAAAACCTGTGGGATACTGCAACAGCGGTCTAAAGAGGGAAATTTATTGCATTAGATGCCTACATGTGAGAAACAGAAAGAGACCATGTCAACAAACTAATGAATCATCTTAAGGAAATGGAAAAAGAAGAACAATATAATCCCAAACCAAGTAGAAGAAAAGAAATAACCAAAATTAGAGATTAATGAAATTGAAAACAAAATAATCATTCAAAAAATTAATGAAACTAAAAGTTAGTTCTTTGAAATAAAATCAATAAACCTTTGGCCAGATTAGCTAGAAGCAGAAAAGTAAAATCTCTAATAACCTCAATCAGAAATGATAACAAAGAAATAACAACAGATATCACAGAGATATAAGAGATTATCTCTGAATACAAGAAACTCTATGCCGAGAAATTTGACAATGTGAAGGAAATGGGTCAATATCTGGAATCACACTCTCTCCCTAGATTTAACCAAGAAGAAATAAATCTTTTGAACAGACCAGTGTCAAGCACTGAGATCGAAGAAACAATAAAAAATCTTCCAATAACAACAAAAAAATGCCCTGGTCCAGATTGCTTCACACCAGGATTCTATCAAACCTTCAAAGAAGAGCTTATATCCATACTATAGAAATTATTTCAAAAAATTGAGAAGAAAGGATCTTCCCTAACATGTTCTATGAAGCAAACATCACCCTGATACCAAAATCAGGAAAAGAGCCAACTAAAAAGGAGAACTTCAGACCTATTTCACTAATGATTATAGATGCAGAAATTCTCAATAAAATCCTAGCCAATAGCTTACAGCTGCACATTAAAAGAATTTTATATCACAATCAAATGGGCTTCATACTCAGGATGCAAGGCTGGTTTAACATATACAAATCCATAAATGTAATTCACCATATTAATAGAAGCAAAAACAAAGACCATATGATCCACTCAGTAGATGCAAAAAATGCATTTGATAAAATTCAGCATCCTTTTCTAACAAGAACACTTAAGAGTATATTCATAGGTTGCACATTTCTTAAACTGATTGAAGGCATCTTGACAAACTGACAGTGAATATCATAATGAGTAGAGTAAAACTGAGAGCTTTTCCACTTAGAATTGGAACCAGACGAGGATGTCCTCTTTTGCCACTACTATTCAACATGGTGCTGGAAGTTCTAGCCAATACAGTCAGGCAAGAGAAGGAAATAAAGGGCATCCAAATGGGAACAGAAGAGGTCAAACTCTTCCTCTTTGCTAATGATATGATCTTATACTTAGAAAACCCCAAACACTCAACAGCAAGACTCTTGGAAGTGATTAAGAAATACAGTAACCTTGGGCAGCACCTGTGGTTCAAAGGAGTAGGGCACTGGCCCCATATACCAGAGGTGGGGGGTTCAAACCCAGCCCTGGCCAAAAAGTGCAGAAAAAAAAAAAAGAAAAGAAATACAGTAATCCCTCAGGATATAAATCAATGTCCACATATCAGTAGCCTTTGTATATGCCAACAACAGTGAAGTTGAGAAGCTAATAATAAGACACAATTCCCTTCACAGTAGCTTCAAAGAAAATGAAATGCCTAGGAATATACTTAACAAAAGAGGCGAAGGAGCTCTACAAAGAGAATTGTGAAACCCTAAGAAAAGAAATAGCAGAAGATACTAACAAATGGAAGGACATATACCATGCTCATGGCTGGGAAGAATCGACATTGTTAAAATGTCTATACATCCCAAAGCAATCTGCAGATTCAATACAATCCCCATTAAAATACCAACATCATACTTTGAAGATTTGGAAAAAATAGTTGTTCCTTTTGTATGGAACCAGAACAACCCCACATAGCCAAGACTGTTTTTAGTAATAAAAACAAAGCTGGGGCATCACCCTACCAGACTTAGGCTATATTACACGTCCATAGTGATCAAAACAGCATAGTATTGGCACAAAAATAGAGACATAGACATTAGAATCGAATAGAAAATCATGAGATGAAACTAACATCTTACAGTCACCTGATCTTTGATAAACCATATAAGAGTATACACTGGGGAAAAGAATTCTATTCAATAAACGGTGCTGGGAGAACTGGATAACCACATATAAAAGACTGATACTGGACCTGTATCTTTCACTACTTATAAAAATTGATTTAAGATGAATAAAAGATTTAAATCTAAGGCGTGACAAGATTAAAACCCTAGAAGAAAATGTGAGAAAAAATTTTTAAAGATGTTGGCCTGGGGAAAGATTTTATGAAGAAGACTTCATAAAATGGCAATTGCAACAACAAAAATAAATAAATGGGACTTAATTAAACTAAAAAGCTTCTGTATAGCTAAGGAGACAACAACCAAAGCAAATAGACAAACTTCAGGCAAAGGCTTGATAACTAGGATCTACAGACAACACAAATTAATCAACAAAAAAAAGAGCTAACAATCCACACTATCACTGGGCAAAAAACATGAATAGAGCCTTCTCTAAGGAAGACAGACTAATGATTAACAAACGTATGAAAAAAAGGTCATCGTCCTGAATCATCAGAGAAATGCAAATCAAAACCATCCTGAGATATCACCTAACCCCAATAAGATTAGCTCGTATCACAAAGTCTGCAGATGCTGGTGCAGATGTGGAGAGAGGGGAACACTTTTCCACTGTTGGTGGAACTGCAAACTAATGCAGCCTCTTTAGAAAGAAGTATGGAGAATCCTCAAAGAACTCAAATTAAACCTCCCATTTGACCCCGCAAGCCCTCTACTAGGCATCTACCCAGAAGAAAAAAAATCATTTTATCTTGAGGACATTTGCACTAGATTGTTTATCACAACTCAATTTACAGTTGCCAAGATGCAGAAACAACCTAAATGCCCATCAGCTCAGGAATGGATTAACAAGCTGTGGTATATATTCCATGGATGCCATGGAATACTATTCAGCCATAAAAAGATGATGACTTCACATCTTTTCTATCAACCTGGATGGAGTTGAAACACATTCTTCTTAGTAAAGTATCACAAGAATGGAAATGCAATTATCCAATGTGCTCAATACTAATATAAAACCAGTAGAGGATCTAAGGCATGCCCACATAGGAGAAAAACTCATTTTAATTCAAGTTGGGGGGAGGGATAACAGAGGACGGGGAGAAGGGAGGGAGAGTGGGTGCTCCCACTGAACGGGCATGGAGTGGGGGTGTTTGGAACACCTTTTGAGTGTGGGACATAACCACAAGAGGGACTCTACCTAACAAAATCAAATATTTTGACCTGATTGTTTGTACCCTCACATTAACCTGAAATTTAAAAAAGAGAGAGAAAAGGAAAAAAAAAAAGAGAGAAATCCCAGGAACAAAGTCTCCATAAAACAGACTCCAAAAGAGGGTGCCTTCCATCTACTTACAGAGACTAATTTCTCTCTCTCTCTCTGCACAATCTCCTATAATGCCTGTGAAATGCATGTTTGAATGCCATGGTCCCTCAGCAACCAGTGCCCACAGGGTGAGGACCTTAACGCAAATTTTGAACCAAGACCTCAGGTCCTCTACAGCATTCAGTAGGTGAGGCAGGAGGTGATGGGGAGAAGGGGATGCTGAAAGGGGGTGGGTGGGTGGCAGGCACGGAAATGTGAGCAGCTGCTTGTGTGTCAGGAGAAGAAACCAGCAGGAGAGAGACTGAGGCAGAGAGAGACAGGATAACCGACAGGATGTACCCCTGTGGGGCCAGAGTAGGGGGGCTGAGGAGTGTGCTGAGGTGGGGTGGGGGCAGGATGGAAAGAGCTCAGGAGCATCCGTTGGCTTAATTCGTCTACTCCAGTCGTCCATCTGAAAAGACTCCACTACTCAGACCAGGATTTCTCTATCCGACTGCCTACCGGTGGATGTGGGTTGTTCCCTACGTTGCGTCTTCATGTTTTGGCTGTTATGAATAATAGTGCTATGGGCATGAACATACAAATGTCTATTCAAGATCCTGCTTTTGATTCTTTTGGGTATATATCCAAAAGTGAAATTGCTGGATCATACAATAATTCTGTGTGTAACTTTTTTTTTTGTATTTAACTTTTCGAAGAACCACCACACTGTTGCCCACAGTAGCTATACCATTTTACATTCCCACAAACAGTATAGGACTCCAATTTCTCCACATCCATGCTAACACTAGTTATTTTCTGGTTTGGGGTTTTGTTGTTGTTGTTTGTTTGTTTGTTTTGATAACAGCCATGCTAAGGAGTGCAAAGTGTTTTCTTGTCATGGTTTCAATTTGCATTCCCCTGGTGACAGAGGGTGGGGAATTTTCTCATGTGCTTGGTGGCTTCTTCTATTCTTCTTTCAGGGCACACAGACTCCTGGACTCTGGACCCTCTGGGCAAGGAGATCAGGCCTTGGATACCAAGTATGGCCAGACTCACTCTCCACTGTCAGACAGGGCAGCTGGAGGAGAAGCCCTTACCCCTCCTGCCTCTCCTGGCCTCCTGGACAGTCCTCTGTCCCTATGAGGTGGGGTCACAGGTGCCCTCTGTCTTGTAGGTCATCTGTGGGAAGTGCTCTGAGTTCAAGGCTGAGAACAGCAGGCAGAGCCGTGTTTGTAGAGAGTGTTTCCTGACACAGCCAGTGGTCCCTGAGAGCCCCAGTCCTGAGGCTTCAGCTGAGCCCAAGCAGAGCACAGAGGTGGGTGCTTGTGGTTCCTGCTCCCCTTGGAGTGGCACAGCGGAGCCTCTCAGACCAGACATGTGACCTTACCTCCAACCCCACGGCTCCATTAACTCTGCTCCCAGAGCTCCCCGGGGGTCAGGACGGATGGGGGTATCTTGGTGAAGTCTACAGGCCCTGGGAACCACCAGGGAGAGCTGCTGGGAATAGCTAGAGAAGTCCACATTTGAATGCGTGTGTGCGTGCACATATGCACATGTGCCATGTGTGTGTGTGCGCATCTGCAGTATGTGTGCATACATGTATGGTGTGTGTGTATGTGTGTGTGTGGTGTGTAGAACTAAAACACACTCAGCCCCTTGGCCATGACCCACTTCAGGTACTTGATATTGGGTTTTCCTATTATTTTGATGCTGTCCTGACCTAACATATGGACTCCCTCCTAGCATACAAGCCCCACCTGATGCCACATGCACCTACATTCTGTAGGCCTGGCTTCAAGTGACGCTTGGTGATGGGTGAGGCTGGTCCCCATCTCTGTCCAGACCTCAGTTGTGCCTACACAGCCAGCTCCTTCCCAGTAGTGGCCCTGGCCCTGCCCCAGCCTCCTCAGGAGCAAGCATGACTGCGAGTGAGACACACCTAACCTGTGCTTCTGTGTCCCCAGAAGCCACCCACTGTAGAACCTCGGCCCAGCCTGTTCTGTGGGCCCCTGCGACTGTTGGACAGTGGCGAGGCCTGGAGTGAGGTATGGGCCACCATCCCTGTGTCGGACCCCCAGGTGCTGCACCTGCAGGGAGGGAGCCAGGTACGTGTCCCTGACCCAGGCTGAGTACTGGGGGCTCCACTCTGCTTCTGTAGTCCAGAGCTTCAGGCCTAGAGTGCCCATAGCAGGCCTAGGCCATCTGCCTAGGGACCACCCACTTGAGCAGTGTTATCTGGGGCCTCAGTTTTCCTAGCCACTCAGAATCCCCATCTGCTCCCTACTCACAGGGGATAGGACCTACTGAAGCCAGGACCCCAGAGCCAGCCAGGCTTTGAGGAGGGCTGTGGGTCTGGCTCCCTGTCTCCACATTCATGCATTTATTTACCTTTTCATTCATTAATGCATCCTGGCTTGGCTGGGAGCTGTAGACCCTGTGAGAACCAACTCAGGAACCCTTACAGCCCCTCTCCCAGTCAAGGACCCTCATCTGTCCTTTTTGAGCTCTAGCTGCTGCCCTATCACAGAGACTCATCCTGCCTCACCTCCCCAGTGGCCTGTCAGTCTGAGAAAGGCCCTGGGGTCTAGGTGTCCTGTGAGGTGGGCAGGGCGTTCCCTTCCCCATATCCTCTCTCAGAGGGCCAGTGGGTTGCCCAGCCTTCTGCTAACAGAGGGCAGCACAGGCATGGCTCCCACCCACCAGGCCCATCCAGCTCAGCACTTGCTTTGTGTTCATGGAGCTCAGGGGGCTGCCTGGGAGAGGCCTGAGTCACAGGGGTGAACCTGAGGACCCCACTCACCCTCCACTTTTTACTGCAGGACAGCCGGCTGCCTCTCACCATCCCTCTCACAAACTGCATGGTAAGCGTGCCTGATCCCAAGGAGAGGCCAGATTCAGGGCATGTGTGGAAGCTGCAGCGGGCCCAGCAGTCCTGGTACTTGAGTGCTCCCTCTGCAGAGCTGCAGCAGCAGTGGCTGGAGGCCCTGAGTACTGCCACCCAAGGGGACATGGCCCAGGACAACCCCGGGACTCTGCAGCTTCAGGCCCCTGTGGATGCGGCTGCTCTATGAGCTAAGCCTGCTCTTGGACTGCTGTGTTGGGCCTATGGTCTCCTGGGAGACCTGGCATCAGAGGTCACATGAAAGGTGCCTGGAACTGCTAAGGATGGGTTAATAGCCCTGAGCTCTGAGCACTTGGCCCTGGAGGGTCCTGCATCTTCAGAGAGAAGGAAACTGAGGCCCAGAGAGGGGCAGCCCAAGGTCACCCGGCAATCTCAGCCAAGAGCCTAGCCTCCACCCAGCCCCAGCAGCATGGCTCAGAGCAGGGGAGTGTGGCTGCATGGTGACACACGCTCCAAAAGGGAAAAGGAGGCAGCCTGGGCACCACTCAGGGACAGCCAAGTTACTGCCTGGTCAACAGATGTCTGCAGTGTGGTCCGCCCCAGCCTCTGCCCATCTTGTCTACGCTGTGAACTCTGAATCATGACTCACTCCTTCTGGGCTCCCCTCCCTTCTCTACCCCTCTCCTGCGGTCCTGTGTCCTGTCTGCAGCCTACAGGAAGGGCGAGTGATAGGCCTGCCCCATCCTGGCTGGACTCATGGTTCCTGAATAATTTCACAGGAACTGCGGGAGACTCACCCCAGCCACCATGTGGCCAGTGTGTGAGATTCATGGCTGCCCCCTTTGCAGGCCACACAAGTGCTTATCTGCATAAATAAATGCCAGCCACCAGTAGGTGGCCACAGCCTCACCTTCTCTCCCTATCCCTCAGCAGTGTCCCCTATCAAGGCAGACCCACTGGTGGATGGCTAGGGGACAAAGGTGGCAGAATCACCTAGGCCACATGCCTTGTCTAGAGAGCAGTTCTGCATCTGTGGTCCTGTCTTTGGGGAGGGTGGAGCACTGTGCTGTGTGTAGCCAGTGAGTAGCCAGGCTCAGAAATGAGGAAGGCAGGGTGCCAGGCACTCAAGGTGGGTGGGGACCTCACAAAGATCCTCAGGTAGGGCTCTGGGAGAGAGTAGGCAGATTTAGGGACCAATGATGTGGATCACTGTCTCTCAGGACCACCCCCCCCCGACTACTCTAATATCCACATGACACCCTGTGAGGACACCTAGGCAGACTTGTGAGGCACCTATCTTTGAGGGGACTGAGAGGGCAGCAATGAGAGCTAGGAATGGGGGACTAGTCACAGATGAAGTGGGGGGCACAGGTGAGGAGGACATAGGTAAGGGGGTAGAGACAGGTGAGGGGACACAGGTGACGGGGTAGAGGCAAGGGGGCAGGTGAGGGGACACAGATGAACTTCTGCAAGTTCTAAATGGGCTGTACTTGGAATGCTGCCTCAGCCACTGCACACAGAGCCCCTGCCATATACCTGCCCCATGCTCCTCATGCTGCACCTAGTAGTAGTCCTAGTAGTCCCACCTCACTGAGGAAACCGAGGCTCAGGGAAGTGAGATACCCGGTGTGCTTCCATGCTGGATGGGGCTGCAGGGTCCAGCGGGGTAGAGATGGAGACAGAGACTAGGCCTTCTTCCCAGTGGGTCATGGCAGACAGAGGCCCTGCAGTGGCCAGTGGGCAAGCAGAGGCAGATGACCTTGGCAATGTGGGGAGCTTCAATAACTGTCCTCACCCAGGTGTCAGCCTATATGGCCAGAGATTCTAGCTTTTTCTAGAGATGGAAGAAATCCAGATGTTCTTGTAGAATCTCCTGAGAAACTTTAATACCTGCTGTAGGGTCTGAAATCACTGTGGTCCCACACAACCCTAGGTGAGCAGCCAGCATGGACCCAGAAAGTCCTCTGGGAAGCAAGGACAAGGCATGTCACCACAGGCCTTTGGCAAGGCAGGCCTCCAGACTCTGTCACCTGGTGCAGGGACCGTTGGATGCCAGCCAGTTAGCCTGGATCTGGGCTTCTTTGCTCTTGCACTGGCAGCTGCAGGCTGTTGTTCTCACTTTTTCCAGAAGAGGAAGCTGAGGCTCAGACAGGAAGAGTGAAAGAGGCACACTTCCAGCCTCCAGCCTGCTGAGTCCACATGCTGCACCTTCTGGGGCCGGCCCTCTTAGGGTCTGCCCCCAGAGAGCTTTCCAGCTGAATGCTCCAGAAAAGGGGTTACTGAGGAGCAGCTGGGCATCCACATCTAGGTGTTGGGCCCTCCCACCCCCTTGGCCTCTTCTTGCCCCACGGCCTGAGGCCTAGGCACACTCCACTGCTCCTCCGTGGACCCTTTGCTGGACACGTGCTGGCTCTTGGCCTCCTCGCTGTCCTTTCTCTTCCTCCTCTTCCCCAAGGCCAGCACCCGCCCCCCCGCCCCGCTTCCATAGGCACCGTCTGGGTAAAGGGACACAATGGGTGGGCCAGGGAGGTGGCACCTGGGGTTTCTGGGGCTTAAAGAATGTTGAATGGGGGCAGGAAAGGGTCTGGGGCCCCCAGTTGCCACAGGAGTTAGAGCCCTTCTTTTTCCCCTCCTCCCCTTCTGGTATCAGCTCAGGGGCTAAAGTTAGAGTACAGTGGAAAGGTTTTCACAGATGGGAGAGTAGGAAAAAGAAGAGAAAATTAGGGGCAGGGGAGTGAACAGGCTCTTGGCAGAGGTTACTATAAGGAGGTCAAAGCCCAAGGGCTGTTAACCACATAGCACACTAACCCCACGTCCAGAAGGGGATGGGGAGATGCTGGCCGCACTTCCTGCAGTCCTAGGGGAAGAGAATGAGCCTTCAAGAAGGCTTGCTACAGGCCAGGTGCTCTCCAGCCATTCAGGAGAATTACAACTCAGAGGTCACCTTAGTAGTAGTGAAACTGAAGCCCAGAGAGGGAAATTCACTTGCTGGAGGTCACACAGTGAGTTAGGTTTCTAGTGGGATTCACTCATTCACGGCTCATCCACTTGTTTCTGCCCTGGGCACTGCTAGCACACCTCCAGGGTGCCCAGCCTGGGCCATGCAGAGGGGAGGCCAGCCTCTGAGGCCTCTGTCCCGTGGGGAAGCATGTAAGCTGAACACTGCTTGGGTTTCTGGGAAGGAGGGTTGGACACCGCCAGTAGCCCCTGGCCCAGCCACACTTTCAGCCCCATCCCCAGGCTGCAGGCCTCAGAACTGCCAGCCTCCTTCCCACCTCAGGCCTTGTACTTGCTGACCCTGCACATGGGGGCACTTCCTGCCCATCCTGTGTGGCTGCCTCCTTGGCACTCAATTACTCAGCTGCCTCCACAGAAAGCCTTTGCTGCAGTCTGTCCACTTTTAAAAAAAAAAAAAACTATTTGCTGTCTTGTTTAACCTCTCTTTCCTGTGTAGAACAGAAGCTCCCAGAGGGCAGGATGCAGACCCTCCAATACTGCCAGGCATAGTAGGTGCTCAGGGAATAACTGCTGATAGCAGTGGAAAGGCTCAGGGACTCCTGCCTTGCTGCAGGCCCTTAAATACACTGGGTATGGAATCTTCATTTTACAGATGGGGAAGTAGAGGCTGCCTGAGGTTGTAAAGGCCCTGGGCTCTCTTGCCTCCCCTGAGGTCCTGGGTCTCAGAGACATGAGAGTCAGCTTCTACTCAGATGTTTGGTTCCATTGTAAAGATGGACACACTGAGACCCAGAAAGAGAGTCATATCCTCGGGACACAGGCAGAGGGGGACTTGGACCCTGATCGGTCTGATTTCAGCTGTGTTTGCCTACCATCCTTCCATGGAGGCATCAAGATTGGCAGCAAGGGGGTACTTCTGAGCAGCCCAAGCCCCTAAAGCCTCATCCTGAGAGGCTGGCTTCCACTGGGCTGGAGGCCCCAGAGCTTAGGCCTTGGGGCAGCCCTAGCACCACCCTCCCTGCAACACTATGGGGGCCTCTAGGCTTTGACTTTTAGCACCAGCTGCTCCAGGGACCTCACCTGCCTCTAGGAATTAAAGCCCCTCTGAGTAGCCACTTCTGGCCCTGGGTATCCAAGAAGGAGAGTGGGCTCACCTCCCCTGGAGTCACTTGCTCTTTCTCTACAGATAAGCTCCTTCATGCCAGGGACCATCCAGGAAGAACCTGGGTCCATCTGGCAGTATGACCCCACAGCCCATACCTTTCAGGCATCCTCCTCAAGAAACCCTCCTTTTGGGGCTCCTAGTGGCCCAGGGGCAGCAGATGTCCACACTGAAGCTATATACTATATTCATGTGGGCAGCTGGGCAGCTCTTGGCACTGGGTGGGTGTGGTCCAGGCCTGTTCCCTCTTCCCCTCAGCATCTCCCCCTCTCCTCTAGAAGAAACAGCCCTGGTTCCCAAGGGCACTAAGTGGGCTGTGACAAGAGCCCAGGCTGCTCCCTGGCTACAACACCTCTCACACTCACATCTATCACTCAGGTTGGAGAAATTCCTACCTCCCACCTCACGTGGAGGAGGAAACAGGGAAGGGACCCAGTGGAAGGCACAGACTCCACCTCTAAGTCTAGGGCTGCTCTCTCCATTCCAGGGGCCTTGGATGAAGTTGAGGGAGGGCAGGAGGTGGGGGGAGATGAAGAGGGAGGCAGAAACCAGGCCCCCACCCCACATTCTGCACATTCCGTCCTGGAAAGTGGCCTCCTCCGTTGCTTGGTGCCAGGGCCCGTCCTGCCCTCCTGCTGACCCAGTGGATTTCTGGGCTCCATGCCCTGCTCCTAGGTGGGAAGCTCTGACAGAAGCTCCTGCTGGCCTAGGAAAGGCTGCATCTTAGTGATGATGACATTGAAACAACCATGTGGTTGGACAGCAGCAACATACCACCTCCTAAGCAGGGTTCAATTCCCCTAGAACCTCTAGTGTGCTCACAGGAAGTGCAGGCCTTAATGCCACCCTAGGCGAGAGCGTGGTTGGGACCAGGATGGCAGCCCACCCACTCTTCTGCCCTGGTTCCCTTGCTGCCTCCTCCCAACCTCCTCTATGGATGCCCCGTAAAGACCCCAGGCTGGACCCAGCCCTCCCCAACCAGCCAGGATGGAGTAAACATAAGGTTGTGCCTGGAGGCTCAGGGACAGCAACAGGAAGAGCCAGAGGATTGGTGTGAGTAAACACATCCTCGCTGGGCTCCACCTGTGACCCAGGTGTGGCTCCCTATTCCTGTAGCCACCAGGATTGGTTGGGGGTTGGTAGTGGTGGTCATATGACCCAAGATGGCCTCCCCTCCAGGAGATTGTGGGGGAAAGTCTGAATTCCTAACTTGAGAGGTCATCTTGGAAGGAAAGAGTCTCCCAAGTGAGACCCAGTAGTGGGAGGAAATCTAATCTCATCTGACGTAGTTATGTGAATAAACAAATACATAAGTAAAGTAGTTATTTGAGTGAATAAATTTCATGTGAGGTAAGATTTTCTGCTAACTGCTGTTGCACCCCACTTAGCAGCAACCATTTTGCAGGGACCAGCCTACACCCTCCAACATGTCCTACCTTGGCCATATTTCCCCTACCCAGAATCCAGGTTCACAGTTACTCTGAGGACATAAAAACCTTTCATCTTTCCTGCTAGAGCCAGACCTGTCCCCCCACTGCCAGCTCAGTTTCCAATGCCCCAGCTCCGACCACTATAAATGCTACGTACCACCTCCCTCTGAATCTCCACCCAAGAAAGGGAGCCTTTGCCTGATGAAAGCTCAAAGAAATAAATTATCTGGGTGGGGTCTGTGGCTCAGCAGGTAGGGTGTTGTACCCATATACCAAGGGTGGCGGGTTCAAACCCAGTCGCCAAA